CTACTTGTTCTCAAGGACTTTTTTCCATACTTGTACTTGAGGCAAAACGCTTCAATTGACTGATGCAAGAAACTCCCAAACCGTGCCTACAAATTTTTTCCAAGTAATCGCTTAATTTCACCCCACTACAAACTTACCATGTACATAGCTAAGGCTACAGGCAAGTAGAACGAGTAGAAAGCTGTCTTCCATTTAACAATTGCATCATACCTATAAATAGAAACAACAGATTTATCACTCGACACTTTAGCATACTGGCTGTATGTGCCACTTGCCTGAGATGAGGGAGAGGACCGACTTCTGAGAGAAAGGCACTTTGTCTTTTCCCAACTCCAGCTGTTGGAGTCCAAAATGTGGCGATCGAGCCTATATTCATTCAAACCTTCAAATCATATCTTAAACCCTGACCAACATAAGATCTTCCAAAATGCTTTCCAACTTAAAGGACGCGCACAAGAACTGAAAAACCAGGAGGAAATCAGCTGATCTCAGGAAAAGCAAGCCACATGCTAATCTCACTGTACACAAATTTCTCGTCCCATCTTCCTTGGTTGGCAGCCCCTCCCCCTTCTTACTCACTCCACCCCTGCCCCAAATGTATCCCATCGTGTGGGAAAAACCGTCTGGCTGTCCCGTGTATGATGATATCCCCTGATGGCCCCTTTATCTCTCCCACCCTGAGAACAACGTCAGGATTGTTCGTATCGCCTACCTTTGCTGGGTAAACCTGTTCAGGTCTTTGTTTCCCTCCGGGGATGTGATGAGATCCAGGGACTGCCCGACCACGGTCTGGTAGGTTGTCTGGAAGACGGAAACAAAATAACACAGAAAATAACTTGTGCAGTTCCCACATTACCAACTACAATGCATGCAAGGTACTATGGTGGGTGTGAACCGTTAACCACCGATTTGCTGGAATTTGAGAATCAATGATTACTGCACACATGAAAACCTGACCAGAATGGGATGTGAACCTGTAACCTCTAGATTGCTGGAACTTAAGAATCAAAACAACTACACACAGAAAGTGACTAGAATTGGGTGAGAACTGAACCTGCAGATTGCAAGAATTCATATAAATCAACAACAATCACGCATGGAAAAGTGGATAGAATGGTACGTGAACCTGTAACCTCTGAAATGCTGGAAAGTGTGGCCAACACCATCCAGGGGACAAAACACAAGCAAAATTGACAGTGAAAGCACTTGAGCCTGTTTGCATTGTTTCTCTTGCTACATGTATATATGTTGACAGCTACTGCGCAGATCGAAGGAACAGCTTAGGACAGAATTCTGCATAGTGGAGGAAATATTTGCTGAATACTAAACCCAGGTCGCCAACCAAACTGACAAGCAACGCATAGCGCCTGCAGTCAGTTCTCATTAGATTTTTTACTTATTAACACTGGAATATACTAAGCTATTTTTTGGGACTTAGGAAGTGTCCACAGAACTGAGTCCTGGGGATCAAATTCAAATTATAATGCGATCTGTGAAGTGAGGGGATGATCTAGTACAAATCAGGGGAGTCAGGTTGGTGTAGTGGCTCTTTCCTCGCCTTCCACCTCTGCGTTCCAGGTTCAAATCCCGCCTAGGTTAGCATGTGGCTGGGGTTTTCAGTCCGTGACTGATGCCGTGGGTTTTCCCTGGAATAGGTATCCAGGGTTTTCCTCCAACCTCTAAAACTAAACATTTCTTCATTGTCCTCTTAATTGTCACTTCATCCTGTAATCTGCATTAAATTCACCGTTGGACGAGCAGATAGAAATACATTGTAAATAAAACTTTTACATTAACTACTCATCACCTCGTGGAAAAGTTCCAACACGCTAACGTAGTATGGTTCATTTCCTATATGCTTCTTCAGCAGCTTGTAGATACCGGCTTCAACGAAGAAGGAATCGTTGATTGCATCCAATCCCACATCAGCCTACAAAAAATATTTAACACAAAAAAGGGGAAAGTGGAGTTTTTCTAACACCGGAGCTGCAAAATGTGAGTGATCACATAAAGCAAAGAAAATGTAACGCTTCCCTAGTTGCATATCTTACTGTACTGGTCAAAGATAAATAGGTTGGATTGCGACCTTACTTTGCGGAACCAGCAGGGCCGACCTCTTCTCGTTTTGGATTGGTCCATGATGTCATCAGCGATGAGGAAGTAAGCTTGGAGCTGGTAAAGCAGAGAGTGAGAAATGAAAGGAAACAAGGACATTATTGCAATAAATCTGTGAAAAACATTGCGACGGCAGTCACCCATTGAGTTTTGGATGTTCGGTTTGTGGGGGCTCAAAGTGTATTTAAATCACATGCTCTTTGTAAACTAATGGCGGCTTGGGAGTACAGCAGAACTATATGGTAGATTTTGGCTGACTAGGCAGTGCCCATTTCTCAAAGTAACTCCTAGTCCCTCCAGTTAATATATTCCTAATCAGTGCTGTGGACAAGACCATCAATCACAAGATCAGACAAAAGACCAGTCACAAGATCAGATACAAGACCATCACAAGACTAGTCACAAGGCCATCGCAAGATCGGACACATGACCATCACAAGATCAGACACAAGACCACCACAAGACCAGACGCAAGACCAGTCACAAAACTAGTCACAAGGCCATCGCAAGATTAGACATGAGACCATCACAAGATCCAACGCAAGACCAGTCACATGATCAGACACAAGACCATTGCAAGATCAGACACGAGACCATCACAAAATCAGATGCAAGACCAGTCACATGATCAGACACAAGTCCATCGTAAGATCAGACACGAGACCATCACAAGATCCGACGCAAGACCAGTCACGAGACCAGACACAAGATCACAAACAAGACCAGTCACAGATGACAGGGTGGAAATTGATAAAGGAATGCTTTGTTGTAGTTCATTAAATAAACTTGAGACTTGAATTAAGACGTACCCACTCCACGCACCATCCCAACACCATAGCCTTGTGTAGATTGGCATCAGTGGCCTGCGATGCACTGGCGAGGTATCTGAAGGACGCCACAGTCGTCAACCCACGGTTGCGCTTGCCATGGGGGATGTTATAATCCATCATCTGTGGGAAAGATAGCAATAACTTGATCAGGGAGCTTCTTCATTTGAACCCACACAAAATTATTCATTGACCAGTATTTCTCAATAGGCAAGTTCAAGTGATGACTACAGTTAACTTGAGTTTGACCGAAGTCACCTGAATGAAGGATGGCGGGATTACATGCATCTGATCAAAAACTTGGAAGCAAGGCCTGCCTTGGGGGCACAGTCCCATTGCTGAAACGAAGCCAGTGCCATAAAAGTGACTGTATGACATGATAGACACCATAAACACAATGACAATATGTGACAACAGGTATGGTAAAATACTTTGACAAGTGTCATCTAAGTGGTGCTGTAGAGTGTGTATGTGAGTTTGTTTCTGCATTCAATTGGGGACCCTGAACAATAGAGGACAATAAGGTCCCCGATTGGCAGAGGGTCCCGGATTGACAACTGTGTACAAAATATATGGGTAGTCTTCTAAAAAAGTTAAAGTACAAACAAAAGAGGAACAATAGGGGGTCCCCAGTTGCAGGCAAATACACACTTGAGTGCACTGGTGAGAAGCCATTAACCAGAGGTTGAGCTTTTGAGTAATTTGCATTCGATCTTGGCTAATGGTGTCTGCATGTTGCAGAGCCTTAACTACAGCTGCGTCAGACAGCTATGGCTGTGGCTATGACTTGTCCACAAGCAACATGCAGGCCAATGGATGGCGGCTGCAGCCGGGTGCAATAAACCTGTGCATCTATCCTAGCCAGAGTCGGGCGAAGTGTTGGACATAGGCTGTCGCTGCATATGCCTTTTTTTTCTCGGAAACTTCCCACATTCCTCTGCGAGGTGACTACTGATGTTACAACAAAGGTCTGATCAGAGCCCGTGGCATAACTGGGGTGCAATTTCTCGGAGACAGGGAGCAAATTATGGGTGTGCACACATATCTTTTTCTTACAGAGGGGACACTGAAAACCAACTGACAGATACTTACAGCACCGTGCGCCGTTACCTTTTGGAATACAGAGAACCCTCGTTTTCTAAAAAGTACATGCATTACAAAGTCAATTTGGATTGCTTGTGTTTACAGTGCCATATCTCTGGATTGCCAAAAGCAAATTTACAATCAGATAGAAACTGCCGTCAAGCCAGAAAAGTCCTCAGTATTCGCTTGCATCACTTAGCTGGGACACGCTGTGCCACCGAGTTTCCAACTTGCCTTCTCAAATCGGAGTGCTGCATCTTGGATTTCGGGATTGGCGGCGTCGTCTTCGGTGATGTCTCGGAGGAGCCCCTTGAAGACGTCGTGAAACCTGTTGGCATCGTCTTTGCTGTAATCTGCCATGGTGAAGCTACACGGAATGCCAGCAAGGGGAAAAATATAGTCAATTAGACAAAAAATGTCACACGAATTCACAACTCTTTCCAAAATTTCTTCAGTTCGTCAACTTGCATCAATCTCGCTCATTGGGTATCTATCTGCCAACTTGTGCAGTAGTTGCTAATAACAAGCACAGTCACTAAGGTTGATCCACAAGCTCAAAAAAAAAAAAAAAAAAAATCTCTGGGGATTTAAACATAGAGAGGTTGTGCACAGCAGCTATCTTTCCAGTAATTACTTTTGTTATGGAGGAGAGGCACAAAAGGTCTACATGTAAATGTACTCAAGTGTATCCCTGTGGACCAAAGGCGGCCAGTTAAAGATCTCCAACTGGCCGCCATTCACAACCTCTATTCTAAGTCGCTAATACTTTCCAGCTCTATGTGCTTGTAATTTCAAGAATTTGGAAGCGAGCTACCAGTCTGCAAACCGGTTTAATTTGTATCTTTGGTACCAGCACCACATGCAGTCTTTCATAGTTAAATATAGACAAAATTTTGTTACCCGGCAAAGGAAATGAGAACTTATACTGGTATGCCAGTGGAAAGGTGTTTAACATCTCTGTAGACTAATGCCGTGCTGCTGCCCAGATATGACTGTCGTTGTCTTCTACGTGTACCTTTATTTTCTGTGCTCTAACCCACTGAACTACAAAGAAACACATGGGCTTTGTATGGTGCACATGCAAGAACGGTACAGATTAAAATAGCCTAGCCACCCAAATTTTGCAAGGAATTTTACAACCACACACGTACATTAATTTTGGATTTTTGCCCTGCCCGACGTGTATTATAACACTGTATACTCAGTGTTTGCCCCCGAAGGATTGTCTACAAGTGCTGGTATATAGTGCCAGTAAGGGCCCTGAGCCGGACCAGGAGAGAGCCTGATTTTCCTCGAAATGGAGGCTCCTTTGGTAGGAACTTCACTAGGCTGGTTCATGAGTGACTATGTACATGCGTTGCATGCGCGTCCCTACCAACAAAACGAACACTCCCGACCAGCACGGTTGTTTTCAACCAATGACCAGCACGGCTTCCTAATTCTATAGTTATGGCATTGTGCCATAATCCCCATGACCATTGGCAATCTACATGTATAAAGTTTCATATTTCATTTTGTCACGGAAATGTTGCTTTACACGTAGCTCTTTGATTCAAAGTTTTTTTTTTTCTTGATTTTTCAACCTACTGTGTATTCCTATTTTTTAAAACTTTCTATAGATTCTTTTCTTTTCTTTTTGGTAGATTCATACCCCTGGAGGAATGTTTTACTCAAAGATAAGGAGAAATGACATCTGAAAGTTTCCTTAACCCTGACAGCCCTGAATACTACAAAGTACTTCTTAGTAGTAAAATGTAGTATTCAGCTCTGCCGCTTGTAAGAGGACATTACTTTATTGTTCTCTGTAGCCATAAAATACAATAGATAAGACAATGTATCATACAGTGCTGTGGCACTATGAACGCATGGCTTTCTCTGTACGAGCAACAATGGAAGTAACCTAGCTAGAAGTAGTAATTTGTAGGGCTAGGTCCTTCAGGCTCAGACTACTGCTTAGTATTTTGTAGTACTGAGTACTGCAAGCCAAATTTTATGCAGAACTGCTAGGGTTTTGTCCTAATCCCGTTCCCCACACTGCTGACCGTTAATACAATTCAGCAGCAGTCAGTGACCAGTAAGATACGGTAATGATAACCTATGTGAATAGAGGTTTCATCCAGATCTGGAGGGTAAGAGCTTTGTTTAACTAGGACAGGATCAATAGCCTCCAAGGCACCAACAATTCAGGACCAGCAATTCAGGACCAAGTCAAATATCATCAAAGTTAAACAAGTAAAATCACAGTACAAATGCTGTACTTGAGGGCAAAATGGTACGGGCACACAAATAAATGAAGGCATAGTATTTGGAAATGGAAAATTTGAAAAGAAAGCAATATCAATTTTTTCACAACAAATCACTTTCGCACATTAAAAAATAACATTAGGCTACATGTTACTACAACTTGCTAAATGTATATACCATTACCGGTACGAAGGAGGAAGGATATTTCTTTTGCCATGATTTTATCGTCCCACACTCTCATTACCACTGATTAAGTTTCATTACGTCAGCATAAAAACATAAATGACAAGGAATTCAACAGTTTTCTATATTGTGGAATAATACATAAAATACTTCCTCCATGGTAAAAATCGCGGACTTCTGGAGCTAGCTGCGACTCGTCCTCCTAGCTCCTAATCCGTAGGCCTAACTGCATTGTACATGTACATGTACACATGTATACACATGTACATGTACATGTAGGTCCCTGCATGTACATGTACATGCATATCTTAGCCTACCTGTCTACAATGAATTGAATGAACACGAATATGACAAAGATGTAGAGCACACTTACAATTACAGGTTACAGATCTTCCAGGTAGACCCCTAAATGCAATTTGATTTGTTTAAAAAAAATAAAATATAGTCTTGATGCCGATGATAAAAAGCAGTAACGATCGATCGTCCTCCCGCTAGCAACTCGATCTTCTTGACCGAAGGTTCTGCCCGGAATAACTAAACCAGCTTGATGCTTTATCTACACTTACCAAGGCCCTTGAACTAGGCCTAGGCCCCTACATGTAGCGGACCGATGAAGTGAGTCAAGTGAATGCAGTAAGCAAAAAAAAAAAAAAGGAATTTATTCAAGTAGGTCTATTTACCAGCACCTTGTATGAACCACCCCCGTGCTATTCATATTAATTCCATGCCGGTGGAGTAGGGCCAGGGGAAGGTGATTGACAGTCGACAAGACTCTTGAAGCGGTCCTGATTGGACACCGTTGATCAAACCATCGGATGATCTTCGACGATCCACGCACGCCTACATGTACGAAACCTTCCTTCCTTGTCAACAAACCCAAGCCTAACTCCAAAATTAGTTGAAGTTTTCGACCCAGCATCAAAATAGCTCGGAGTGTTGGCCCACAAGATCCAGATTGTATTGTTCTTTCATCTGTGCTCGACGACTGTATCAGATTGGGAGCTATTTTGAGACATTCCAAAGAGTAGGGCAGGTATTTTTAGATCAACATGATCAAGAGGCAGCAGGGTCAACCGGCGCCATCTTTTATGTGTAAAATAATGAATATTCAGTAATAGGGTGGGCGTGCCCAAAAGGGGCAGTAACACCTTAAAAGTTCGACACGTTACTTTTCTTGAAGATCATAACCAGCACATTCGTACAATCTGTATTTCAAATTTGACCCAGGAAATGTACTTCTCGGGGGAAAAATTAGGCAAATAACCGTGACAGTATAACTTGGAGCATGCGTAGTTAGACGAGATACGTATTATTGCACGCAGATTTTGCCATTAGAAATTTAGTGCATAAATAGCCCAGTTCAAAGATTTCATGTCTTTTAATGTGATGTCCTTTTGAAACGAATCTATCATGCGGATTTGCCTGGACGTACGTGTTCGCGAGTCATGGCTGCGGCTTGAAATGCACGTGCGCCAAGCGGCTGCAGCCACTTCCCGTAGATTCGTACGGCCAGAGGCTGAGATAAAAATATTCAACGAATGTTTAACGCGTGAGGGCGCCTTTTAGTAAGTGAACTCCCCGCAGAACCGTTTTGAGGTTGTCCCCCCCAATTAATTGAATGTCGACCATTCATGGCTTTATTTGGCACGTCAAGGAGACTAGCACGTGGATAAGATGAGTGTCAAGGCATTTGAGCTAGTCCCGGCCATTGAGAGGCTCAAGTTGCTGGGCGAGAAGGCTAGAACTTCGGTAAGTACCGGTCTCACTCGGTATATGATGTAGGCCATGATGTATCATTGTGTGCATTACTACTAGCCCTAGTACTAGGCCTACTCCTACCACTGTACCAGCTGCCTGCTCTCTGCTGCAGTGCTGCATGGCTAGGGCCTAGCGCCTAGCCCAAGAATAAATATGTGCTGTAATATCATTTGGCCTACATTGCATTCTCATGGCTTCTGCTATGTATGAACATGATGAAAGTACTACTAGCTTACTAGCCCCAGACTGGGGGCCAGTCTACTGGACTCCCTCCGTATCCTAGGCCCCACAGTGGTCCATTCAAAAAGTGGGGACTCAGCGAAAATACCTTCTGAAATCCCAGTTAGGTGTATGGATTACATACACCTAATTGGAGATTCTCACTTAATGAGGTTTATTCACATTTGGACAGAAAAGAATAATTTCCCCTTCAAATTGGAAATTTGCTCTTGCCGTCAAGCTCAAAGTCACCATCTTGTTCAAATCCTTATTTGAACTGGACAGTAATGTCCTTGAGATGACATCATGGCACGTCCGCCTGGCGGACCATTCAGAAAAGCATGCCTTGTCGGCACACGCGGGCTGACGACTGATTCCTGAGCACCGCCTGTCCGGTAGCTTTGATCACATTGAAACTGTGTTCCTTTTGGCTTACAATGTACATGTAAGTGTGTTCTCATGGCCTAAGTGATGTCTGTACATGTATATGAAAGTCTGACTGAATTGAAAGTATTCTAGCAGTGTTCGCCCCTAATTTGACTCCTCAGTGCCTAAAATGAGACTCTTTTAACTTGCAGTGGCAGCAAATAAGAATTCGGACTGATTTACACCTTGTATTTACATGTACATGTATTTTAAGATGTTAAAAAACTTGCACATGTTGAGTAAAGCAAAAAATATAGCACCTGTAAGGGGGTTCCAAAAAGTAAGGATGCCTAATACTAGTTATCAGGCCACGTTTTGAGTAAGAGGGGCTGGTCTCTCCCTTAATCCTTCAGATTCCTACAATACTTCTTTGTGGATTGTAAAGGATTCAGGAGGGTTAGATTTAAAGAGATTATGAAAGATAGCTTGTTTTCTTTTTTTTCTCACAATCAATTTTTTGTGAATGTTTAAAGTCTCTTTCAGTGTACAAAAACTGTTTGAAATCTTTTTAGGAATTACATTTAAATCAGTTGTTAGTGCACTTATTTATACAAGCAACCTTGACATTGTTCGGTTTGCCTGTTTTCATGCTCAGATTCTGAGCCCCAAATTTCCTCTTTGGAAACATTTCTGAGACAAGGTTGCACGCTTGCTTTAACCCTAACTTAACCCCCAGGCCTTTTTTGCTAGGGACCCTCCTCAATCCCCCAAATCCTCCAATTTCGGGGGTGAAAAAATTGGATTCTCCCTCAATCCTCCAAAATTTCTTGAAAATGTTACTTGGAGGTGTGCCTACTGCCTCAATCGTTCGAAATCCCCCCGGCAATTCCTGTCATTATGGTGAGGCGGTGTGAATGGCATTCTTGAGCAATGTGGTTGATTCAAAAGAAATACTGGGCTGAATTTATGCCGGACAAAGCAAAACAACACAAGATCTAACCCTTGACTTTCATGCATGGCATCCTTTGCAATCAGCCATGCACTTTTGCCATTCACCCTCAATCCTCCAAAATTGCCCGAAGGATTTTGGAGGATTGAGGAGGGTTAGGGTTAATAAATTGCCGGACTGGACTTACTACAATAAATCGCCTTTAAAAGGAAATGAAAATTTTCAACAGCAAAGTATTAAAAATCAAGCAATTTTTGTGCACAATTCTATTGAACATTGAGATTTAGTACCTTGAATTACAGTTTTGTACATCACAGTTTTTTCTCATGAATTTGCAAATCCATGTTAGCATAACCAAAAGGCCCCCAAAACACAGATAAAAATAGCAAACCAATAAAATAAGGTTAAGTAGAATACAGCAGTGGATTCTGTTTCTGTTGCATGGTCTCTTCAAGTTTTACAAATGTAAAAATCCACAGGAGACCTACATGTACATGTACATATGCAGGTTGCTGCCCACACCAAATACTACTGTGTATTATGGTGATGTGAGATTTTTTAATTAGCCCTAGAAAAATTTCCATATTGCTGGACCATCACAATTTCCATATGTCAAGAACACCGGCGAGTTTATCCTGCTGTGTAAATCTGTTCCTGTTAGGTACCGAATCTCCCCTTTTCTTGCCACCATCCCCCCTCCCCCAAATTGGAAAGAACTCCGTAATGGACTATCAGAATTTTTATTATTGGAGTGTTGTAACACAAACAAGACAAACCCTACACGTACGGCCGGCACTTCATAGAAACCTGTTCTCCTGAGGTAACAAGCCCCTTTTTCAAAATTGTGATGGTCCTATATGAAATTCTTGCCTTTGATTTTTTTTCTTTTAAGAATAAAAGGAATGATCTTGAAGATCTGTCATTCAATGCACCGTATCCTAATACCATCTTTTTGTGATTTTTTTTCTTCCACAGATTGAGTGCATTGAATGTTGTGGGAAAAACCTGTACATCGGCACCAGCGACTGGTAAGTACCAGTGGTGTGAGAATCCAGCTTTTTAGCTGATTTCAGCTTTTTTGTCCACCAGGTCTGTACAATAGTATGAGAACTTTTTACATGTCAGCTTTTTGCTAGCTGTTTTCAGCTTTAATTTTAAGTGGTCACTCACACCCCTGAAGTACCATGCACGTAAGAAGATTCCAAATGTTGTCCAAACTTTACTTACGATCGGGATGAAAGCCCTCAACTTCTAAGTTTTACCCTTCAAGCACTCCTCGCAATTGTTCTTTTTGATAAGAACCGTCCAGAAGGGTTATCTACTGTAAAGAGAAGAAGCTTTAGTCATGCACGTTTATGCTGAAAGGCATTTCTCTTTCACAAGTTAATGCCTTGGGTGATTTATCATACGTAGCTCTGTGTCCGAAGCTGTAAATCTCTTGTACTTTAAGCTTTATTCCACTTGCAACCTGGGGGAGACCTAGTGCGCATGTATTTGTTGTTCACAATTAAATACTGAACTGCCTTTATAACTTCTTTGTTTAGTGTATGCATCAAATGGTTGGTTGTTAATAATGTGTGTGTACTGTGTAGAAGTCTAGTGTAGCAGTCTTTTAGTTTCACAAAATTTAGTACTTTTGTGGTACATGTATGTATACATGTTTTTATTTTGTAGTCTTGCCTTTTTAATCTTCTGATTGTTGGTAAGTTGAGCAACTTACCAACTCAAGTATTTGAAAAGATTGTGAAATAGCTGTCGTTAAGTCCAAACATACATGTACTGTACTAGTATTGCTGGTTTGCGTTTTGGGGGAGTCGGGTCGGTGAAGCACTGACAGTCCTTCCCTTGCCTTCCATCCCTGCGGCCCGGTGTGGCGGCCTTAGCTGTCTCCCGGTCTCAGTGGTCCCCCTTACCAAATGTGGTAAAAGTACGTCATGCCATCTCTGCGCACAATGGGAAAGTCGTCCGTTTAAGTGGCGTGCTGAGCAGTGCAGTCCATGCATGCTTCACGTTGTACGTGACGTGTACTGTACATAGGCCTACATCAAACTTTGACAATAGCACCGCTTATAGTATCGTGCAAGTTAGTCATGCAGACATCTCAGCACGGAAGACCAACGAGACCGTGCTTGTGTCGTGCTGAAATGTCCGGCTACGTCAGGGGGGGCTGCTGAGACCGGGAGACAGCTGAGACCGCCACACCGGGTTTGATTCCCAGCTCAGTCCGCATGTGGATCAGGTTTACAGTCCCTACCTGATTCCGTGGGTTTTACTCAGAAATTTCTTCTCTGGGGTTTCCCTCCTACCTCTAAAACTGTAACTGCTTCTTATTGTCTCCTGTCTGTAGATATACATGTAGGTGGATGTTGGTTGCTTGGCGACCACCTGAGGTGTGCTTGTTTGCCATTCACTCGACCACATATAATGTCTTTGTTGTACAGCGCCTTTGAACATACCTGTGTGAAATTTGCACTGTATAAATGAATAAAATATAATTATTAGAAATTATTTAATTTAGAATGAATGTCTCTGTGAATTCTCACCCTCACCTGTTGTATTTCTGTCGCAGCTTTGTGATCCATTTCTTAGTTGAAGAGAAGACACTACCTAATGGGAAGATCACGTATTCCAGTGAAAAGCAGTCACATAAGTACCTTGCGGTGGTGAGTGTGTGCTGTTACAAGTTTTTCAAAGCACCACACTCAATAGATTTTATTCTCAAGTCGGCCATATTGATTTGAAAGCGAGGCTAATCTGTTCACTTTGGGAACAAGGGAGTGAAGAAAGAAAACAATGCCATTTTAAGCTCATTGCAAATTAATGCCTGTTCAGGCTGATGAATAATTTTAAATTTGTTAATTATATCTGAAATGTTGCAAGCCATATTTCAAAACTCAAAGTGTGGTATGGAAGGCAATTCCCTCAATCTATCACAGCCAGCATGTGTGTAAAAATCTATGAATTTTCTTCCATTTACCATAGAGACTACGTGTCCCGCATCTTGCTGTTTTGGCACTGGGGAATGTGGCAAGGAATGCAGAAAAAGTCGCTATATCTGTGAAAAAACCAACAAAACGTGCATGCTCATTGTTTCTTGCAGAAAAAGCCCATCCAGCAGTTGAAGGCAGCCTCGGCGCTGACCCGAATCCTGGTGCTGTGCGACAACGTCATCAGCCTGCTCAACATGTTTAATCTGGAGGTGAGACCTCCAACAATCAAAGACGAGGGCTAGGTTTAGATCTTTGCCCACGGAAAGCACATGGGCGTGCATGCTGACGAGCCGATTGTAGCTGTGATTTTGGAAGCCTGTTTAAAAACCACAGTCTCAGGCCAACACGATGTACATGTACTGCAAGAAATTCTAGAACTGAAAAACAAATCTACTCACTGTTTTTGTTTTTCAAATTCATAGGGATTCTTCTAAACATAATCAGAGTGTGTTAAATGAAAAGTTGCTGTGTTACCAAGCACTATATCCAAGAACCAACTTCTGTGCTGCTTAGAATGTGTTTACTTATACTGTAGGATGCTTGTATATAAGTCGTTTGTTTCAATTTTGTTTAAAAAGACAGTACCTGGTGTGTTTACCAGATTTTTTTATGAACTGAACTAGCTATTCAACAGTTTTAAGCACAAATTTTCACCAGTTTGGGTGTCGCCTCTTTCTTCACCAAAGTGACGGGATCCCGTCTTTGTAAATACTTGGCGTGCCTCTGAAATCTTCCCAATACAGTCACTTGCAAAAGTTTAAGACCACCTGGAATTTGACTGGTATTTCTGTCACTCGGCCTGTATTACATTGTCTCATTGAATGCTTACTTGACATGTTTTACAGTGGTGCATAACATCAGTGCAGTGCTGTATACCCATTTGAATGAAATTTCTGTTGCAAAGGCAGGTCTTGTACATTTGTCTGCAAGGCAGCATGGGGTAATAAAAGCCAGTCTAAGCAATCAGAAATAAAGGAGGGCACACTAGATATTAGACTGTTAACATTTCAAATCATGGAAATGTCATCAAATAGCTGTGTAACCCAGGTACCGAGGTTACATATTGAAAACAAACATAAGTTGCCATGATTGATTGGTGTAAGTTTGGTTTTTCTTCAGGTTATTGCATTTTGTATGGCTGGTCCCGAACTTTTGCAAATGACTGTACCAGAGCAGAATGTAGCAGTAGTCAAGTTGAGATATTGAGTGACTAAGTTGAGTTTTTAAGCAGCGTATCCGTAGACATGGGCACCAACAGTTAAAGTGATTACTCTGGTGTTTGAGGCTTCTTGATCAGAGCTGTGTCCTGGTGCTTCACCGCGGTGGAATGCATCACTTGTCGGTCACAAGTCATCACGTCTCGTGTCACAGACTGTCCTAACGAACTGTGATAGGAGCATCCCTTTGTCATTGCTCTATCCCCGGGTTATCTGCGACCGGGCTTGCAATTTGACTTGTGACCGTGCGTGTGATGGCCATGTTGCTGCATGACTTTGCAGCAATTGATGGGACTGTCTCTGATCAGACTGCGTTTGGAGCTGTGGGGAAGAAGTAGGTGGTGGAGCTGTCGGCAGCTCACGATGACAGTGGAAATTGGCAACTAGTCTGACTGGGAATGCAGTGATCAGTGTAATGTGGAACAGAGCAAGGAAAATTATGAATCTTGCCAAGTGTTGAGGGTGCACCACAAGTTGTGTCTGTTTACGAACAAGGCTCTTTTTGAAGTAATCTCCTAAACTTGTCATTTCTCAACTCATCTCATGATTTGTTCTGATCCGTTCTCTCTCCAGCCCATTATGAGTGGAGCCAAAATCAAAGGGGTGAGTACGATGCCCTCGGCAAGCAAGAGTCCCACGAAATCCATGCCAAGGTTTTCCGTATTTGATGTGATGGATGGATATCCTCACAACGAACCAACATGATACACAAGAATACATTTACCTGATGAAGTGTCACAATGAAGAAAGATGTTGACAATTTGAGAGTTTTTTAGGATTCTGGTACAGGGTTCTTATGGTCCTAGATTGGAACTTGGATTGGAACCTCACTTTAGTACATGTGTATTGCTCTTTTAAGGGGAAATGTGATATACTCAAGATGATTGAAAATGCAAAACTTCACAATAACCATCAGATGACAAACATTCAGATGGCCCACATTCAGCTTACAAGATCCATGTTCTCAAGTTCCATCCTTGCCATTTGTCTCCTAGGTTTCATCTTTCTGTGTTAACAGCAACCCCCGGTCCAGCAACCCCTTCAGTTTGGAGGTATGAATATTCAAATATGTTAATCATTCAATAGTCGAATAGAGATTTTGGAATAGATATACCCACCACTTAGGGGTGATAATATTTGATTCAGCATCATTTTAGGAGATGTGCTATAAGCTGTCTCTGAATTGTTTTTCCGCTGCTGCTGGGAAATTACACAGGCACCTGTGGAATCTGCAAGCCATAGCCATAGCCAAAGTCATTTAGGTGCAGCCCATGTTTTCAGCTACATTGTATCTGCACTATGGCATTATCTACAAGATTTCAATCAAATCCGCACAAGTGCACCATCAGTCATGCAGCACGTTCAGTCTCAGGTCCATCCGCAGGTTGTTCAAATGATTGGCAACAGAAGCAATCCTTTGTCCTTGTTTGTTACTGGCTGCTTGAGATCAGACTTGTGGTTCGACTTGAGACAGACTTGTTACAGACTTCTGGTTGTTTTTATCATCTACTCATTGTAGCCGAAAGAATTCACATTAATACATGTTAAATGCGTGTACATGTAATAGATCAGGCATGCAAGTGTCACATGGTGAGTGTACCCAATTTTCAGTAGAATGTGCACAAACGGTAGCATATTTGCTTGAGAGGGACTCGCCTTCAACTGTAGTATTTAAAAATTTCTTTCTAGTGGTACCACTTGTTTGGTAAAAAGTCCTCCGCTTAAAACATTTGTAACACTCAAATTTCGTTTCCAGATTGCTGTGACTACCAGACGGAGACAAGTGCAAGTCTACACTGTCACCGAAGACAAAGTGGTCTTCATCAAGGAGATCACCCTCAACGACATCCCCGTCAATCTGGTAAGACTCCAGATCCGAGGATTTCAGCACCAGTTCAACAGGGTGTGGGCGCATTGTGACCCTAGCCGGAAACACCTGGACATAGTCTCAATGGGGGGGTGCGGACCATTGACCATTGTGAACAATGAATATAAATCACAGATAGTTTTATCTCTGAAAAAAGACAGTTATTTTGTGGATTGTTTTGAGTTTGCATGAAGACGTCATTAATTGGAAAGAGTCCCTGCGATCATTGTTCTTCTAAGGCACACTTTTTGTACATCTTTATGCTCTTCCCAAGTATTTGAAAACTACTTTGACATCTTTTGTGGGTCAAGAGTGATTGAAAGAGTTGTTTTTTCCATCATTTGTATCTGTTCAAGCTTTTCTGGACAACTTGCTACAATGTCAGCCAATGTCAGTTCAGTTTATAGGTTTCTCTGTCAACTTGTGAATTCCAAAGTTTCTGTTTTGAAAACATTTCTGAAAATGGGTTTCTTGTTGGCCTATTACACAACAGCGAAGCACCCAAGAAAAGGAAACAGAGGCCAGCAGACTGTCAAGAATTCCTTGCATTTTGTGTGCACAAATCAACGGAAGATCAGGGTTTTCTCCTTGGGATGACATAACAGTTTTGTTCATGAATATGAAAATTCCCTCCCCCCCCTCCAAAAAACAACCAACCTAACATCACAAATACATCAATAGCCAAACAAAACTTTAAAATAAGTTTAATTGAGCCTTGGAGGTGCATTTTCAAGGGCTATAGAATACCAAAAGTGTGACGTCATTTTGAACCAGGAAGTGCAGTGCAAACGAATGTAGCACGCCCTCTATTGGTTCACATGGTTCTTATGCTAACGCCTTTTACACACATAATTGTGCACATGATGTATTTTACTTCACTACTTCATAGCAAAGTAATGGACCCTTTGAAACACGGTCGATGATTTCTCTGTTCCCACTCGACAGAGTACCGACGGCTACTGCATCTGCATTGCGATGACCGCCCAGTACGTGATGGTCAATTACAGCACGGGCGAAATGACCGATCTGTTCCCCTACGATGCCGACTCGACCTCCCCCGTCGTCAAAAGAGTTGGCAAGGTGGGTTGCCGGGGGAGGGATGGTGATTGCCAGCGATGGTTGTTGGAGGGGTCAGTGGTAATTCATCCATCCACGTGGAGATTCGAAAATTGCTCCAATTTCTTAAGGCTGTTTCGTACTAAAGGCAAATGCGAAAGCGACGCGAAGTTGAAGCCTCAAAACAGTTGCAGTGAAATGTGCTCCAGAGTTGAAATTTATTTCTTGTGAACTGGTAGCATGATTGTCTGATCTTACACCACAAAGTAACGCTTGCTTTAACTCGGCCTTATGCAAGGGGTTCAGCTGGTACATTTTAAACAGTAGCCAAAATTGTAACCAACTGCACACTTCCTTGGCTTCCATTTTCTTTACCACAGGATTACAGTCACAAATTGTAAATATTTGCCGTTTGGTGACAGTGGCAAACTTATCACTAGAAATAAGAGTCATTTCGTCGGGTTCACCGCAAAGTGACGTATAGGATAGTTTTGGTACTCCACAAAGTGACATACCGTCCATAGACTTTGTACTCACGATACATCAGTTTGTGGTGTGGCAACTATCCACGATACGTCACTTCGTGGCAAAACCGACGATTTAAATAATTCAGCCTGTTGAAACAAGAAGTCATGCGGAAGTAAGCATGTAACTGGAAAAGGAAAGATTATACGATCGCATAAGTACTTGTAAACTTGCATCCCAAATAAAAATATCGGTGGAGAGTGTGTGAGAAGTGTTACATTGTAACATGGATTTGATATGCTGAATGTTCATGTCTGCCGTGCAGGAAGAGTTCCTATTGGCCGGTCCCAGTGCCCTTGGGATGTTCGTGACGTCGGCGGGTATATCCCAGAGGCCGCCCCTGAAGTGGTCGGAGAACGTTCGCGGGGTCAGCTATCTGTTTCCCTATGTGGTTGCCATGGACGACGAATTCCTGACAGTCCATAGGTTGGTTACACATCTACTCCTAATTTTTTTTTTCAAACATGTGGCCCTGCCTTCCAAAATGTTTCTTCTGGCGTCTTTCGTAACCCCTTGACCACGGGAATTTCTTTCCAAAAGCCGACTCCAAGAATTCCAGCCTCGCTTGGCCACGAAGGCCAAACCGCAGATTCTCGGTTTGTGGCCCTGCGTGCTCTGCACGCTTTGAATTACGCTTTGAAGCTGGTGATTATGATGCAAATTCGGTCTTTTCATTTCTTGGCTACGCACAAAGACCAATTACCATATATACAAGAGCCAGGGTCTGCCTTCTTTCACCGTGTTCGCTCGAGTGTGGGCCGAGAATAATAGCTGAAAAGTGGGCTAAGGATCTCAATTTTTACGGCGGCTCTGTCCGCGTCCCCGCACGAAGGGGTTAAGAAGTTTTGTTTTGATGAGATTTGAAGCTTTTCCTGGTGGAGGTAGCAAGTAAACTGTACATGTATAGGTGTGCGGTAGCACCGCGAATATATCTCTTTTTGGCCATTATCTCTGCTCAACAGTGTTTTAGACCAACAGCAGAAGCAGACCATTCCATTCCAGTCGGGGAAGATAGTGGGCGACTTTGAGGGGAGGATCTTTGTGGCGTCCAGCAAGGAAGTGTACGCCTTGGTGCCCATACCCGTGGAGAAGCAGGTAAGAGAGTGGAAAAATATAGACATGTTTGAGTAAAGAAGGGTCAGGTTTTGTAACTTCTCAACACAGAAAATTGTCAATTACAGGTACGATACTAAAAATGTCCTGCATTCTATAAATCTTCTGACTGGTTCACGGAAAATTAGGTCACCAACCAAAGTTTCCTGCATTCTGTACATACATCTTGTGACTGGTTCAGAGAAAATTGGGTTACCAACTAAAGTTTATTGCATTCCATATATTTTCTGACTGGTTCAAGTTACCAACTAAAATGTCCTGTGTCCTTTGACTGGTTCACAGCTGATATTTGCTAAGGACATTAAACTGGCGAGCAAGACTTGCTACGCAGCAAGTTTCAAGTGGTTTAGTGCTCCAATGTCCACTGTTAAGAAACCGCCTGACGAAAGTCTATCAATGAATGCTCTCTGCGAAACAGATCCAGGCCCTGCTGAGTGACCAGAGAGTTGAGGAAGCTTTGACGCTGGCTAAGAACTCTAAGAAGTTGGGACTGCCCAAGGAAAGGTTCCACAAGGTAGGTCGAGGCAGACGATCAGAGTATCAGTGTCAGTCATCACTGTCATGAGTCTTGGTCTGAGGACTTCCGTAGCCATAGGTCGTCTCGGCATGTGCTGGTAATTGGACAGTGCATTGATTTGCCAAAGCAGAAGCCCTTTAGGGTGTGTCTCAAAAGTCGGGAAGGATGTTCATGAATGGAATCATGTTCCATGGGACCGTTCCTGCTGGAACTTTAGTTTGTTGATGGAGTGTGTCCCGGATCCTGGGAAAGGCCCATCTGGTGCTTAGATTTCCAGTGGGAATGCTGTGTTGCCATGGAACGGCTGGCCATTCTGAAATGAGAACAGGTGTTCCAAAATGAACATTCCGACCGTTCAATGTTCCCTTATGTGCCAGCATGCCGCAAAGGCATGCTTTCATGTACACTAACCTGACGTGGTTGCTGAACGGCATGCACCACGAAGAACCGCCAGCGTGTCGGTGGACCGATGTCTTGTTTTCAATTTTACACCAACGGTTTAATGTAAAGAATTTCTCATGAAATGTCCTCTGTTTCAGTTAAGGGTTGGCCATAAAAATGCTTATTTTGCTCATCAACGTGCTCAGTGTTCCGGCAGTCACACAGTCATTTGCAAAAGTTTAAGACCACCTGAAAATCTCTTGATATATTCGTGTTACTGGTCCTGCATTATGTTGTCTGACTGAATCATTACATAACATGTTTTTATAGTAGTCCAGAACATCAGAGCTGTGCTGTGAGCCCATTTGAATGAAATTTTGTGCCAAGGCAGGTCTTGTATGATATTTTGTCTGTAGTGCTGCGTGGGTATAAAAAGTCAGTCTAAGTCACCAGAAACAGGAGGTTACACTAAATATAAGAAGGTAAAAATGTCAAATCATGAAATAAAGTCAAATATTTGTTCATCCAAGATGTTAAGACTATGCATTGAAAATAAACACAAGTTGCCATGATTAATTAACTTAAGTGTGGGTTTTGTTTAAATAGTTAGTGCATGGTTAATATATGTTTGGTCCTAAACGTTTGCAAATGACTGTACGAGTCCTCAGAGGGTGGAGTTACACTACTGGTTGTGGTTGATAAGACAGGACAGCAATTGGGCGGACTTGCCATTTGGGGTTCACCATGCGGGCTCGCCGTGTTTGCAGATTTTATTCATACCGTGTAGTTCATGACACAGAATGATAAGTGAGCAAAAGCCTTATGTAATGGGCAGACCCTGCACCCACCCAGCTGTGAGACGTTGAAAAAATAATCCAGCTTTTTGGGGTTGCATGAAACCACCTCACCCCTTCCTCTCCAAAGAGAAGTTTGAAATGTGAGGAGAAGTTCTCGGCTTTGATTCTCCGCAGCTTTACCAGCGGGTTCAGCAGCAAGCCGGCTTCATCGAGCTGGCGCGGTTCCACTACGACGGAGCAGCCCAGCTGTTCAAAGAAGGACAGCTGGACGTGCGGGAGGTGCGTGCGGTAATGGTAATCGGGGCTTCATCCATGTCCGAATGACATGGCTACGGCTTAGCACGTGTGCCACTGGCTAGCCATTGCAGCCACTTCTTATACACACGTGTGTTATTCCTAGCTGCAGCTTCTTGATTTGGCCACTGCCGTACTTGTCACAGAGTTGTGACATGAGGGCTTGTTTGATGTGACGCCATCTTGTTACCAAAATGATAGGTGTTTGTATTTGGGGTGATGTCTTCCCATAGACTTGCGTGTTAGTCTGAGCTGCAGCCAGTTGATTTGGACGCGGCATCACTTGTTACAGAGTTGTGACGTGAGGGCCTGTTTAATGCAGTGGACGATGCCATTTTGTTTCCAAAATGATAGGGTCTGTATGTGGGGTGTAACTAGTGGATTGGAAAATGGCTGTAATTATAGCACTTCAAGACTACCCGAGGAAAACTGTTTAAACTTGGACTATTGATTATTTCGTGTATAAATGCACTTGTGGACTTAGGAACCAAAATGGCTTTTAATCTTAAGTTTTTCCAACTTTCCATTCACAGCTCTGCCATGATAGGTCAAATGGTGACTTCTTTTGCTCCCGAATGTGCCTGTCCTGAAGTCCCATTGTTAGAAGAGACAGAACCAGTATTTTGAAGAAAAAAAAAAGCCTCAAAAGTTCTTATTTTTCCCCCCCTTTTGTCTCCTTGCAGCTGATCAGCATCTTCCCCAATCTCCTCCCGTCCACCTCCAACTTCAACCGGTCCAGCCCCCTCCTCCATCAGTTTGCCGACATCTCCTCCATCGTTCGAGGCAACAAGGAGAGGCTCCTCGAGTGCAAGACTTTCCTAGCCGGGTACCTGGACGGCATCCGGGGCGGGGAGCTGAGCTTCGGTTACAGGGAGGTGGGTTGCCCAACTGAGAATCTTACCTTCCCTCTGTTGAGCTGGCTGACAAAGTACAGAGTTTTAGGCATTACCGTTGCTCACAGATGCATGCATTGAATATCCGTGTTGACTTCAGTGAGCACGGAATTCTCATTCCCAGTTGGGTACTGAGGTGGTCAGGTTGGGGCAGTGTCCGAAATGGGCTTTGAGAGCTATGGCTAGGTCTATTTTCTGTGCGTCGCCGTGCATTTCCAATAGAGTGAAGACCTAGACCTTGCTCTTGACAACAGTTTTGAATGCAGCCCGGGATTTGGTAGAGGGAGATTTACGGCCCAGTTGAGAATCTTGGCCCAGTTGCCTGGGCTCACAGACAGTACAGAATGCTGTTCACCGTTGCCATTCACACTTGCAAGTGTGGAATAACTGTACTAACACCATGGAGTCCGTAATCGGGACATCACACTGACATAGCACCTGAGTGATTAGAGTTGATTTTATACCCGAGTGAGAATTTATTGGCCCATGTCACAAGCAAGCTAAAGTTTTGCTCGGCAAACTGCAGGGGTTCGTTAGGGACATCGGATGTATTCTTGTGGGCACTGAACTCAAATACAATGTGGAGCACATAAGTGTTTGAACTAGGCGCAAAATACTGGCAGGGTGGTAACTTGTTTATGAAGGCGGATGTTTATTGTGCTTTCCTTGAAAATCTCTGCTGATGATGTAAGCTTGGAATCCTTGGAAACACTTGTGTTAAAAGTTAAAAAAAACAAAAGCACAGTAGAGCTTTGAAATTTGTGACCCATTTTTAGGCCATTTAAAAAAAAATAGTTTAGCATCAGTTGTATTTGCAAAAAATGAAGAGGGAGGATTTTTTTTTTAAAAATACTTTGGTAGGTATGCTGATCTGGACTGCCGCAACCACAGAACGAAAGTGCTATGTGCACTTCAGACTCGTGCACAGAAGTGCACATGACATTGTGTGTATGTACTCAGGTCGCATGTTGTGCGTACACGAGGTTGTGCGGACGTTTTAGAAACTGTGGGGGACAGTTAAGGACATCGGAAAAGACAACTTAAAAAAGACCCACGCACCAAGATTGGCGCTGATGATATACTAATTATTTTTTTCATGTGGCCTTACAGAGCTTTTGAGCACTGTTAATTTGTTATAAAGCCGGGAAGATATTTGTAGGGCTGTGTCAATTTGAATAATTCACTATTTGAATATTCGACCTTCAATTTGATTGAATATCCGAATATTCGGTCACACTGAGCGGCAGATTGTTGATGAACAAACCATATCCAAAATCAGTTGCAGTAACTCACACAGTTTTACATTATGATCAATATAATAGCTTGCTATATCTAGGAGTATCTCCAGCCACAATTTAGCAAGAAGAGATGAAGAAGGCTTCTTGCCCTATTGAAAATTTCTACTCCTTATTGTTTAATGAATAATTTACTTTTTAAATCGGTGTAGGATTTCTGACGCTTTTCATTTGAAACTGCTTGCAACAAGCCTCCATAGTGCAATTTTTCTCATTTAAAACAAAACTTTCCTTTCCTTTTCATGAATTTTACATTTGAATATTCAAATTCGGAAAAATATTCAAATATTCGGATATTCATCACAGCCCTAAAAATCAGTGGCAAAGTTCACCAGATCCCTCCCACTCCTCTGCCTCAGGAGGTGGACACCGCCCTGCTGAAGCTGTATGCCGAGCGGGATCCGGAAAAGCTGATTAGCCTGGTCTCGTCAGAGAACACCTGCTCCTCGAAAGATGCCCTGGAGGTGCTCCAGCGATATGGCAGACACCACGCCTTGGCCCTACTGCACCGATACCACTTAGATAACGAGAAAGCACTCAACATATGGGCAAGGTAGGAGGGGCTTGTGGTTCAAAGGATCGCTCCTTGAGCCTTTCTTTTACAATTGTCACTGAGCTGATAAGAAATACTTTCTGTATATGGGCAAAGTGGGAGGAGCTTGTGATTCATAAAACACACTTTTTCTTGATAATTGTATGCGTACCATTGTCGACAACAGGAACACAAGCTCGGAGAGGCTTTATAATTCAGGTGTCCTTCCTGTGGGCCTTGACTTGCAAATGTTACATGGGCAATTGAAAAAATATTCCATATATGGGCAGAGTGGGAGGATCCTAAAATTCCCAGTTCTGTTGACTTTGCATTAAGGCAACCTTGAGCTAAGAGAATTTAAATCCATATTTGGACGAGGTAGGAGGGGCTTATTGTTCTCTTAATTACTCCCTACTACTGATAAGAAGCCTGTAGAGTAACTTGCAGATATTCAAAATGAATGCCGTGTTGTTCAAGAAGTGATGTCTCATTGGCCATTTCTTTGGTTTTTTTTCTTTTGTTTTGTTCAGGCTGTGTGATGGTGAAATAAAAGACGAATCATTCCCTGGCCTAGAGTTTGTGGTTGATTTCTTATCAAGGTAAAAAGTTCTTCAAGTGTTAGTCTGATTCTAAGTAATTTTGCATATTTCAAAAATTACAAGAACATATTTTAAAAAAGGATATCTTCTAAAAACACCTTGGATGAGGGATTTCCTCTTTGCAAGATGCTCCTAGACACTGAGAATATTTTAGCGTGGTGCTAGGGTGTTGGTCAATTTCACATGGCAAAAATCAAGTCAAGATGCCAAGCGGTCACCAGACTTTCGACATTCAAGTGTATACATAATGCGAAGGACAAGCTTTGGATTTTGAGATTATTTTGGGCAACTTGTCCCAGAAAATCTGGAAGTGCACATACGATGCTGCGGAGAATGAGATCGGTGCTGTTGGTCCCAAGCTTTTCTTGGAATCTGCCTGTCTAATTTTTTTCCTTAGATTAAGCGACCACGAGCTCGTCTGGAGATACGTGGACTGGGCCTTGCAGAAAGATCCTGAACTTGGAGTGAAGGTATAATTGGCCTCTTGTCTCGTTTGTTGGAATTGCAGGCAGAAAAGGAGTGTCACGTGGCAAAATGGAGTTAGTTTACCTCATGAATAAAAAGGGCATGACACTTAACTTACGATGAATTGCTCATACAGTTCACAGTGGAAGTAGGTGTGAAGTTTAGAGAACTAGTCAAGTTGAGGTTTTGAACACTGTTCTCTGGCTTACGTTCTGAAGATAACAGCACACTGTTAGAAATTTTGAGGTTATTGCCCAAAGGGATCTTAGGGTTTGTTGAAGCCCCTGCCCTGCCCACCCCAATGGACGTACGCTTGGAGTGAAAGTGTAAAAGGCTGTAACGACTCAATCCGCTGTCGGATTGAATTGAAGCTTCACAGATGTGTGCATAGTGGATGCCTGTGCATGCATGCCAAGTGCATAAGGAGTGGTCATTGGATAGCCGGGATCTCCTACTTTCCCCCAGTTGTGAGAAAGTAAAAAAAAGAAGCCTCTTCAACGTTAAACTGGTCCTTGGGACAACACACATCACAAATACGAATCACCTGTGTAGCGTCACTGCAGAGGTCGTGGCTTTTCTGTTTTGCTGGTACCAGAGAGTAACGTGTATTGTGATTTAACCCCACAGATCTTCACCGATAGGTCAGAGACGGAGCCCTTGACGGAGAGGATGCGGCCAGACACGGTGATAGACTACCTCCACGCCTACCCCAAGGCCGTCACGAGATACCTGGAGCATCTCGTCTTCACCAAGAGGTTGGAGGTGAGTTTTGGTCGGTGAAGGACCCCCGTTATATCACTGTTGCAGTCAAGCACCTTTCCATGAGTACAAATACAGTCATTTGCAAAAGTTTAAGACCACCTTGAATTTGATTGGTATTTCTGTCACTGGGCTTGCCTTGAATGATTGCTTAACATGGTTTTACAGTGGTGCATGACATCAGTGTAGTGCTATATACCCATTTGAATGAAAGTTTTTGCAAAGGCAGGTCTTGTATGACATTTTGTCTGCAAGGCAGCATGGGTAAAAAAAAGCCAGTCTAAGCAATCAGAAATAAGGGAGGTCATACTGCATATTAGACAGTTAACATGTCAAATCATGGAAAAGTAGTCAAAAATGTTCAACTGAGGTACCAAGGTTACACATCGAAAATCAACATAAAACGCCATGATTGATTGGTTTCAGTTTGGTTTTCCTTCAGGTTAATGCATTTTCTATCGGTAGTCCTAAACCTTTGCAAATGACTGTACTTCTACATGAGTACAGGTACATCCACTTTTTTTTTGAACACAAGTACATGTACTAGTACCTCTGCAAGTACATGGGAAGCTTTTCCTGTGAGTATGAGTGTGAGACATTTTCATGAGTATCAGTGAGTACAAGCACCAAAACCTACTGAGTACAAGTACTACTACCTCTGCATAAGCATAAGTACAAGTACATGGGAAGCTTTTCCTGTGAGTATGAGTGTGAGACATTTACATGAATATCAGTGAGTACAAGCACCAGAACCTTCTTCTTGAGTACGAGTACGAGTCAGAGTATCGCCACGCTGCAAGGGCAGACCTTTCAGTCTCATATTGCTGTTCCCGAATGACCTCAGATGCGCTTCATGTTGGGCTCGCACCATTGGAATTCCAAACCGGCTTATTCTTAAATTATTTTCGTCCGTGTTTGTTGCTCAGTAGGAATGCATGCATTGTGAGCTGCAATTTTGTTTGAGTATTGGCCCAATGACATCTGGCGAGGTATCTTGGCTTGTCCCCTTCGCCCTTATTGAATGCCAGAAAGAGTAACTACTTTGAGATGCTTGAGCAGTCATTGGCCTTGGGTAGAGTTCATTCGAGCATTAACACATTCAACTCTTCTGCGTCCGTGTGACTCGTGAGCGTTGAATGTGCATGCACAGATTTGGCCCGCAAGTAACCCACAGTACTTTGCCCATCTGCAGCTGTGACTTTATTTCCCTCATGAAACTTGGTGAAAGGAATTTGCCATTTGAAAACTGGATCCGGGATTTCTGTTCACTGTTGTTTTGTATGGGAGTGAGTACGGTCTTTGTGTACGTGCATTTCGCGGTAATAGGGTCTGTCTGGATATCACTACATGTATGTCATATCCGAGTCTGTTCATTTCCTTGTTCTTTGACGTTATCGGTGACGTTTCCTCTTCTTGCACTCCCTAATCAATCCATCAACGAATTTAAGTTAAAATTCCTTGGTTTGGACCACATGTGGTCTCTCAGTGCATGTGACCGACCTTGAGGTTAGTGTGGTCATGAGAAGATTTCTGACGGGATTTTAGAAAATAGATTTTCAGATATTAGGCTTTGGCATGACTTCCCTACTTCCGTTGATATTTTTGTCATAGAGGACTCTCTCCTGTGTACGGCACCGGTAGGTTCCAAGCTCCTCACTCAGTTGAGCATCGTGATGGAAATAGACAATGCACCTGTGATTGTATAGACCCCTCTGATTTTACATACTAGTCATATGAGTAGCCATAGTTTGCAGAAATATCACACCACGGCTCGGGGTCAGATTTAACCTCCAATTTGTCCCATGACCTTTAAAGAGGGTCGCGGTTTTATGTAGTAATTGGGTAGTAGTGTTCACAGGTGGTCCGATAGCCGGGCGAGATTTTGCAACACCTCTTTGTACCAACAGCCAGTAGTTGACCAGCTCCTGCCAGCAAAATATGACCAGGACTTAAAAAAGAACAGACACTGTTCAGCCAAAGGCCTTTGACTCCAAAAAAAGTGGCATTGGCGACTTTGATTCATTTTGTTTGATAGGGGCCACATTGATGATTAAGAAGACGAAAGAATAGCTTGCTGTGGAATGAAATTAAATCATGGAAACATATTTGGAGTGAAAATGAGGAGCTGTTGTGGTTTAAAGAAAAAAAATGCTTTCACCCCCAAGATGGGCGGAAAATTTCTTGGACAAAAAAATGAAGTTGTTTTGTTTAGAAAAAGAAAAACACTTTGGTGTCACTGCAGTTGTCACAAGCTACTTCAGCATGCAGAAAAGTTCTAGAATGATATAAAGAGTTGTTACAGAATTGATGACCGTTGTCATCAGGAATATTCCAGAGTCTAGAAACATCCCAAATCTTTTAACTTGCTATGTTGTGGCATATTTCGGTTGTGCTTCTACGAAATATCTTTGGATTCGATCAGGTCGGTTGTATTGTGTTGGCTGTCGCTGTGAGTCGTCAGTGACCAATGAGATTGATGGGGCCTTGCCTGGCCCTGCCTCTGAAGTGTCATGTGACCAGGTATTGACCAATAGGTTGGACCGCAGTGCTTGTCAGTCACCTGCGATGCCCTCCCTATTGGACTTCACCTGATTGTGAAATTGAGGCGAGTTGTCTGTGGTCAGAAAGATGCAAGGCTTGCAGTTCACTGAACCGTGGACTCTCTGTGTTGTCATTTGGCAGTCGTTGCGCAAAGTAATAACCCTCCTTTCTTCTTGAAATTGGTCGCCTGGCTGTGTCGTAATTTCTTCATGGGGAATGGGCCGAGGACAAGCTTAACAAGGCATCATGTGGCTACTCTGGTCGGCTGTTTTGAGAAAATATTTCAGAGTTTGTAGCACAGTCTCGTCTTCGGCACCCCGTTGAGCAATTGCAAGACAGCACACTGTCCAGCGGCATCGCTTCGTCTTGAAAAGCATTTTTTTGGCTTCAGGCACTCAGAACAGTCGATGCGAATTCCCAACACCAGTTGTGCCCAATGGAAGCCAGCGTAGTTTGAACTTTGACCCCACCCACGCTGCCCCCCATATTGGACTGGACTGGTGAGGAAGTCCGGAAATGGTTAAGCATGTGACAAGCGTTTGTGCCGTCTGTCTCTAGAAATGCTCACCAGCGTAGTAGCTATGTGAGGAACTGTACATGTAGGTGTCCTGGTATGGCTGTCTCTCCAGAACTTAGGAAAGGACCCCACGTCCTCTGAAGCTGTTGTCCAGGAAGGGGGGACATTGTGTTAGTCAGGGCCAGTCCACACAAGGTCCCCACTTGTACCCACTGGCTAAACTGCACTGGTACCTCTGTTTGTTCACAGGTCCTCACAGGGAATAACATGTCTGTCCATGTAGAGTGAAACAGGCAACACAAGGCCTCCACTACCTACCCGGTACTCTGTCTCAACCTCTTCGTTTACATGTCCCCACAAGGAATAACATACCTGTCCACACAATTTTACACAAGGTCCACTATTTCTGTTACCTACATGTACGCCGCCTGCGAGACCTCTGTTGTTCACAGTTTTTCACAAGGGGTAACTAGCATGTCCACACAATTTTGCATGCGCCTTTTGCGTACAGTACGTGTGGCCAATTTTCAGCTGAATGTGCATAAACCTTTTGTGGTATTTCATGTTGCCATGCTTTTTTCTTAGCATTGGAGGCTCCTTTGGTTGGAACCGAACTTCGTTGGTTCACGAATGACTAGGAAATGCATGCATCAGGGTACACTGCTACCAACAAATCAAACGCTCCCGACCAACGCAGCTCTTTTCAACTGACGGAGGACGTTTCTGCTTGAGGCGGATTGGCTTTGATTATGCAATTGAAAAGGCAGCATCGAGCTGTAATACTCTCTCTGTGGAGCTCAGATGCATGCAGACACAAGCACCGACATTACTGAACATAAGTGCACGCTAATTACTCACAGAAACACATTAAATAGCCATCCATTTGGGCCTATGCTGGCTCTGCTCACTTCCTTAAAAGTCTCAGTTGAATGATCATGCCTCTCATTGGAAATTGTACAGGTAGACAGAGTCTTTCACTCCCGACCCAGACATGCACATACATGTAGAGCTGGCAAACTCATTCGAATCGGTGTCCACGAAAGGAAAAAAAAATCTCCGAAATAATGAATCCTTTTCAGCGCGTTCATCAAATCCTGACTGTTCCCCCTCCCCCCCCCGCAGTTGGCACGGACCTGTATCACGTACACGTTTCAGGCCATTGATTATACGTCGGCGAGAACACAAGCGAGAGGAAAAAAAAAAAAAAGTGCGGGCGACCTGTCAGCCTTGACTGCCACGCTGTTCCTCCCATTGTCATCTGTAATGGCCCCCGCATATGGCATGCTTTCCGGCCACCAGAAATTTAAATACGTTTACCTTTTTTTTTTTTTTTTTATCCAGTCTGTTTTGTGAAACGCGGCACTGCTGAGTGAAGCATCAGATGCCGTGGAATAAATGGACGAATTCCTTTCGCACCTGCTTGTTAGTTGAATCTAGTTTTTCTTGTATTTACCGCAGCAGCGCTATTTGGAATAATCTGTTTTATACATGTGCATATACATGTACATGTAGGCAGCTTCATATACATGTACATACAGTTCTGATGTTTTTTTTTTTTACGATCGTGCTGATCACCAAGGTTAAATATGTCATAAAATCTGTCTGACTGAAGAAAATCCTGCCTGCTTGATGCTGCTAGCTAATGGCTGAACATGGGCAGTACTGAGCATGCCGCGTGAGTCACTCTCTGTTCTAATGAGGTGGTTTGTCCTTCGGTAGTGTTTTTTTGGCCAGAGAAAGGTTTAGGTTCTCTTGCACGGAATACGTGTACGTATTTTGACTGTCTTGAGAATTCTGTGCTACGCAATACTGGACTACAATGTTTTTATGAAAGGGGGGACTGATTGATCCCAATTGATTGACCAAAATGAAGGAAACTCTGCCTGAAGAAAGCATTGAATGCCTGGACGGGTGCAGGCCTTTGGAATTTCTTTCTTGGGGCACT